GGGGGGGGGGGTTTTGTGTTGTTGTTTTTTTGTTTTGTTTTGTTTGTGGTTGTTTTTTGTTGGGGGTGTTTTTATTAGGAGGGGTTGTTGTTGTTGTTGTTGTTGTTGTTGTTGCTGTTGTTGTTGTTGTTGTTGTTGTTTTGGGGGATGGTATTATTGTTCTTGTTTTCTTTACATTTAAGCTGGATTTTGTAGGTGGTGCAGCGGAAGGGAAGAGTGTCAAGAAACTCATAAGAGAACTACTACTATTCTCTAAGCGTTCTAAAGTCTGACACTCCTCCACGAGATTCTGAACGTTTGAGGCTCCAGTGCACTCAATTGTCTTTGCACGTTGATGTCATATTAAAAAGTGTGAAGAGAAGAAACAGTCACAATCAATGCAAACATGATAACCCCCAAGGACAGAGTAAAATTCAGCGGTGTTTCCTGCCTCTGGGGGAGATCGATCCCCGAGAACAATTTTGTCCTAAGTATTCTTTAGCTAGCTCTTTAACGAAGCCAATGTTCCAGAAACTGGTTGTTTAACGAGACGTCCGTTTCTTACGAACAAAATCCAATGAACTCTTGAAAAAAGGGCAGTGAAGAGCTGTAGCTGCAGAAACAAAGAAGGGGGATGCTTTTGGAAAACCGTGTGTCGGCGTGTGTGGGCACTTGTGAGAGAGAAAAAAGAGAAAGCGAGAGAGAATGTGCATGTGTGTCTGCGTTTGAGTGTTTGTTTATGTTTGTGTTTTTTTGTATGTCTGAGAGAGCGTATGTGTGTGCATGTGCATATATGTATGTATGTCTGTGTTTGTGAATTTGTGTGTAAAAGGGAACGTTGGAGGAAATACGCTATTAGATAAAATTATTACGCTTTAAGCAACCGATTCCGAAAGATTTGTAGAGGAATCAGAGTTGTGGGCCAAATTGCTGCAAATCGTGCTTAGGACCACCTCCTGGGTAAACGTTGTTATTTCTGTAAAGCGTTTATACCAAGATTATGAGGGATTTGAGGTGGATCAGTTTGTTCGTCGATCAATTCTTTGGTTGTGTTCAGTTTGAATAAAGTGACACACATCGACACGACGCCAGCCGTTTGTCGCAATAGTAAATCAAGACAGATAGAAGCTTACGAAATAAAGAAAAACAAAAAAGGGCGTATCAGAGGCGCCCTTCAACCAAGTTCGTCTGATCTGATTTTGTACATATATTGACACACTGGCCTTTTGTAATGATAAAACTTCCTACTTTTTTTTAAAATACCCAAACCACCCAAATGTCGTTTTTCAATGAAAATGCTTCCACTGTAAGGACATACCTACACCACACAATTGGCTTACTTAAATTTACAATTCTTCTTTCATTCGGCGTATCCAAATTCTCTCATTTTGGTGGGGGGCATTTTGGTGGGGGGGGTTACCAAGCTCAAAATAATGGCAGGCAAATTTCGTGGTTTCTGGGTCGTAATTCGTTTTATCACTTATAACGTTCGGTTCTGGAAAG